TTTTTTTTTGGCTGTATATATGGTCCTCTTATTTCTTTATGTTAATTTCTGTACTTAGCACATTGGTTTGTGTTGAAAACACTGTTCGTATTCTTCATGCTTTAATTTATTTTTTCAATCAATTCATGAAGGTCGTACTGCTGGATTTTGTGCTTTGTGCGCTATCCAGAAACATGTTAGCCGTGCCCTACAATTAACTGGGAGAAGTTTAGCACCCAAGGATCTTGTCTCAAACTTGCAGTGTATCCTTGTACTGTATCACTTTCCTGAATTCCTGTTATGCCCAGTATCTTTTTTCTCTTAATTGTTAACTTTACATTTTAGAATGCCTTTATTATCTGCCCTATAGTTGACAAAGAGGTTGTTACAAAAGAAAAATTATTATGCACTGTGGTGTTGTGTTTTAAAGTTTTAATATCATGGGATATATTGCTTGCTCCTTTCTCTTTTATAATGCCCTTTTTTCTTTTTACTTATTTAAGTATTGCAGTGAAGCTGTGGAAAGATTTGTTTGCATAATACGATATGGGAAATATGAGTTTCTGTGTCCAAACTGAGGTTCCTTCTCAAAACGATTTTGCATGTTTGGACATGAACAGGCACTGTGAGAATGCATTTCATGCTTAGCTTCTTTTAGGCTCAAGTTAAAATGTTATCTCCAACACCCCAAAAATAAAATAAAAAACAAAAAAAACCACCACCACCACATGGAGTACTTTATTTTTGCTAGAGGTTTGCAGAATTTGGAATTCCTGACCACATATTAGGCATATCTCGGAACTTCCGGAATGCAAGACAGGAGGATGCTCATGAGTACATGGTAAATTTGCTGGAATCAATGCACAAATGCTGCTTACCTGCAGGAGTACCATGTGAATCACCAAGTGCTTATGAAAAAAGTTTGGTCCACGAGATCTTTGGTGGTTTCCTCGGTAGTCAGGTGATTTTTTTTTTTCTTGCAATCTTGCTTGCCTGGGGAACATGTCGCCTTTGGGAATAAATAAGAATTAAACAATTATTTGAATACTGAGAACAATCTAGGCGAAGTTCGGGATGGAATTGTTCACTGCAATAGAAGATTTTATTAGGATATGAGATCATGCTGTTTTCTTCGTTGATATGATTTTTTTTTTATCCAGGTGAAATGCATTCAATGCTCCTTCTGCTCCAACAAGTTTGATCCATTCTTAGATTTAAGTCTTGAAATCATCACGGCGGAATCACTGTATCAAACACTCTTGCACTTCACTGCGAAAGAATATTTGGATGGAGGAGAGAAGCAGTACCAGTGTCAGAGGTGCAAGCAAAAAGTAAAGGCTCTCAAGCAGCTCACAATTCACAAGGCTCCTTATGTTCTTACCATCCACCTAAAGCGGTTTGGTACACATCAACCTGGGCAAAAGATTGACAAGAAAATCCAGTTTGGTCCCACATTGGATTTAAAACCTTTTGTATCTGGTCCCTGTGTAAGTGAACTCTTTGTTAGTGTCAGCTATACAGCACTCAGCACTTATAGGTAAAGTGTGTACCAATTTTTGAATTGCAACGAAATTTTGACACTTATGTGTCTCATTTCTCTATTAAGCTGGAATTTTTATCTGGTTTGAATATGTTCCTTCACCAAATTTGATATGCCATTGACATTTAGAAGGATATTATTATAACTTTTACATTAACTAAGATTGGTATCTCAAACAGTGTTGAACTGTTTGAGAGACGTACACACTCAGATACGTGAAAGTGAATGTTTTATTTTTTGGATTTACCGACGTGTGGGATCACGCTGAGGGACACTTTAAGGACACGTTGGGACCACAGTTAGGACACGTTTAAAAAGAATTTGAACAGAATTAGTAAATTACTCAAAATAAAATAAAAAAGATTATGAGAACAAGCTTACCACTTGATAGCCATTAGATCTAAAAAAAGTAAAATATTGAGAACCAAAAAGGATAAAGAGAGAAAACTGGAAATTTTAGCTCCCACATCCATGACATCTGATGACCTTTGTCACATTTCCACAACCTCCAATGATTGCCGAGTAGGTGCTTATTATGCTAAGCTATGAAGCATGGACACTTGATCTAGCATTACAGTGGGACTATCTTTTTTTGTTTTTTGGTTTGTGTATAGATGTTTTGTGTTATTGTGGCAAATTATTGAATGGACAGTCTTTTGGTTGATCATACCAATCAAAGAAGCACAGTTATCTAATTCCTGTAATTTTACCAATCAACAGGTAGCAAAAAATTGATACCCACAATTTAATTCCCGTAATTTTACCTGCAATGAGATGGCATGTTATGTGTAAACTTTTGATTTGTCACAATCTCGATGATGTAAAACTCAACTCCTTTGCCTTGTCATTGTGGGTCTCTAGCATTTCTCTTGGTTGTTTCGTAACAGTGGCATTTGGAACAGTATTTGGTGTGGTGTTTTTCTGCATTGTTCAATCTTGGATTGCAGACTTATTACACTGAAAGTTAATCCAAATGGATGTCACTTGAGTTACAAAATGGATGAAGTATAAATGGCTAATAATTCAAGTAAAATATGATAACCAGAATTTTATAATAAGCCAAGTGGATAAATTTTTTGACTAATATTGATCAAATAACTGAATCTGTGATATATGGTGTGTAGATCTCTCAGGTGGTACTGGTACCGATTTGATGAGTGATTTTCACACCCATGTGTTATCTGCTGCAATTTGTTGTTTGATTACCTTTCTGATATTTGTCTATGACGAATTGATTTTCCTTTGTGACAGTGATTAATTTTTCTCTATTATCTCATACTTGGCAGGATGGACCATTGAGATACACTCTTTATGGGGTTCTTGTTCATGCTTGTTGGAGCACACATTCTGGTCACTATTACTGCTAGGTTCACACATCAAGTGGCATGTGGTACTCCCTTGATGATCATCAGGTATTAAATCTTTCTTGTTTTCTTTTCAAACGGTTGTTTGAACATATTTCAAAACTTAATTTTTTCATTGATTGATAAGCTTTTTCATTTTTTCTTCTGTTTGTTTTTGTTTTCCGAAACTGAAAATAAATCCTGTTTAAACAGATGCAGCATTTTAAGGGATGAGTACATTGTTAACATAGAACCATTAAAAGATGAAGTCCTCATTAAAAAAAACAAAAAAACAAAAAAAACTTGGCTATCAACAGGTGATACATATTTGACATGTTAATCACTTCAAAGGCCATGAAGTTTTCACATAATATAAGTAATGCTGCCAAGGTATTAACACAATCTGCTTCCCCTTTAGCTCAGTGTAGGGGTCCATTTTTATTGCGTTGTGTACTTCGTTTGGTTTGCTGGGAGTCTGGGACCTTACCAGGTCATGTTATTACCTCTGTTATTACATACTCTGCTGTGGCCTTAAATTTCTATGTTGCATCTATATATATATATATATTGCAGGCGATAGATTGCTATTATGAGTTGTAGTGTTTCCTCTAGGCATAGATGCCATGATATAGAGAAATGCTATTTATCACTGGACTTGTTACACCCATTTATATTACATCCTATGTGTATCAATGCAACAAACACCATGTATATATGTAAGAACCATGATATTTTAAAAATAGTGTGACCCACCAATATGAGAAGCCACATTGGAGGTGAAAAGGTTTGGTGAAATAATCTGTAGATATATAACTGCCTTCCATGATATATGCTTGCTTGTTCCCTGGTTAACTCGCTTGGTATACAATCTATTTTAAGATGACCTGTTGCCTCAATTGACAGTTGTCTCCATATAGGACCTATGGATCCTAAAATACCTTCTTGTGTTGGAATGCAGTTTTGAAAGGACCAAGACTTCACTTTTGTCTCATCTCAACATAAAACTGCCCGGATACATGGCTAACATGATCACCAAAAGGCTTTGAAGGTATGAAGCTTAGGAAACTAAAGTTGTTGGAAGAGGATTTGAAGGTATGGAGAAGGGATGCTAGGTTGCCTGGTATTGTAAAATAAATTTGATAAATAAATATAAAAAAATAATAATAAACATATAGAAATACATCCAAAATAGTATGCTGAGATGCACAGGTACGGGATATACCAACCAATGAGAAAAACGGTGCACTCACCACTACTGTTTTTACGACTATGATATGGTGCCTATGGAGCAAAAGCAATTGGAGGACATTTGATGATGCACAGATGCCTATGCATAAACTTTAGCTCACTTTACTTCGTTCGTTTCATTTTTAGTTGAAGTATGAGTTTTGTGAGTCTTCCTTTTTGTGGGTGGATTTTATAGGAGAGTTACATTTTAAGAAGGGCATATCATTTTGTTTCCCTTGTACTTATTTTCTGTTTTTCCTTTTTGATGTACAGGAGTGATGCCCCCTTGGCATCCTTTTTTATAATTTTATAGGGGAAAAAAAAAAAATCCTGTTGGAACCTAAACCACTGCTGTTGATTTTTTTATTTATTTTGTGTGTATGTGTGTGTTGTCTCGTTCAACTCTCATTTTGTATCCTGCCTTGTTTTTATACACGTTATGAGTTTGACATTCACATTGTTGGCTCCTTGACATGTCTCTTTATGTGATTTTTTCTTTCCTTTTTTTCACCTTCTCAATATTTTAGTTTCACTTGGTTGTTGCTTTTTTATGCTGCATTGTTGAACTACCCACCATGCTTGCCTTAATTTGGAAGGATCATATATCTACCTCGAGTATCCCAAGCTTGTTGCTTTGATATGTGATTTAGTTGGTTAAACTTACCTAACATGTTTCAATCAATGATGCCTCGATATATGGTCTGGCACCTCTACTGCTGTATTATGTCGCATCAACACAGGAATTTGAAGGGTCAAAAACTACAATTTTGCATTGATATGGCATAGTTGTCATGACGTACAGTTCAAAGTCCCACCAGATTATAATGTTGTGACTTAAACTTTATGGTCTGATTTAGGTTGGACTTTGGAGTAACCTTGAATTGTAATGTTGACTTTAATTTACTTAGGTCCTAAAATTATTTTTTGCTATGATATAGAAAAGTACTTATCTCAAGTTATGCAATGTCTGAAGTGGATGCCCCATTCACAATATGGCTTAGTATGATTTGTAATCTGTTGGACGCAAGTGTTCTTTTATTTGCACGCCATTTCAAGACATTGCTTTGACATAAAAAACAACGCTCAATTAGCACACATTAAAATTTGATTTACCTCATTGAATTACTGTGAGAGGCCATACGCTAGCGTTGTCTTGATACTTAGCTGCCTTGGAATTAGTGGACTCGGTCCCAAACTAGCTTTTTTCTTGGATGGAATATATACTTCCATAATCTGATTTATGGTCTACTAAGTTCTTAAATTATGATGCTGCTTTTTTGTTTTTTGTTACACAACTTGAACTGTATAACCAAAAGGGTTGCTCTCCCTACGTCAAATGTAATGATCTTTCACCAATCATATTTTGATTCATACAGTACACCATGGATGTTGGAGAAATGGAAAATAACACAGCTTTTTGTCAAATCATATTTTGATCCATAAAAGTACAACTGAGATGTTCGAGGAAATGCTTGCTGCTTTTGCTTCTTGTTCATGGTGTTCAAATCCCCCTGTAAATGCATGACCTTGTTTGATTGTTTATGAAGAATGATTTCCCTCTATGATTGTAATGTAATGAAATCAGGTTTGCCAAGTTAGTGAGAAAACTGTTTTGGAGCAGAAGGCCTACATGTTGTTCTATGTTCAAGATAGAAGAAATTTTGCTTCAAAGAAGCTTGTTGATGTTGTTCAGAAAGAGAGCATGGTCATAAATGCCATGGGAAATAAAACACTTTCTAATTTCAATCAAGGTTTGAAGGAAATAGTTCAAAATCGTCCAATTGATAAAAGAGTAGATAGTGTGGACTCTTCTGACAAGACCTCTCAAAAGGTATTTATTTTAATCTTCTCATCAGATAGGTTTTCAGTATTTTTTTCCCTCCTGGGAACTGCACGTTGATTCTTATGAAATGTGATCATTATTTTATTATCAAGATTGATAATGAAGTTTCATTGCAAGAACACGATGAGAATGCATTCCAAAAAATTGACTCTTTAATGTCATCAAATTGGCTGAGCTGTGAAAATAGTCAGGTGAGTATCTTTACTCTCTTGAGACCTTGAACCGCGCATTTAATTGTTTGATCAAGTCTTTGAGTCTCTCTCTCTCTCTCTGTCTGTCTTGATTCTTGTTATATTTAGATTGAAGTTTTGTCGAAGGAAAGTGCTCTTGATGATTGTGGTCCGAGCATGGGAGTTATTGAATTGGAAGACCTATCAAGCCCGGGAATGATACATATGTCATTACACCAGGAAACTCTTGATCTTAAGCCCCAGAGAAAATTGAAAAGGAAGCTTCAGAAGTGTCAGGTTACTGGCATGCACCTTGGCTCAAGCATTCTTTTTGGGATATCCTAAAGCTTGCGGAAGGAGAAACACAAAAAGATTGAACAATGTACTGTCAAGATCAAGAATCTCACAAAACAGCACTTGTTGGAGGGGCAGTGTAGTCCAACAGATCTACAACCATCTACATCTGAGAGAACCATGACGTCGTCCCTTGGTGGTACAGTTCACTCCCAAAGAAAAGGCTTGAAATGTGGTTCAAGTTTGAAAGACAATAGTGCTGTTGCAAATAATGTAAAAAGCTCTAATTATGATTCGGTACAAGAGGGTATTTTTCATGAAGAATTTAGAGATAAACTTGGTGAAAATGGTTCAAAAGAGAGCAGAACAGATTCACTTGAGAATGGTTTTATAAGTACGCTTACCAGAGGTTTAGAGGAGACTATAGGTTAGTAATTATATGGAATTTCTTTAGATAATAATTATCTAACATCATTCATGTGACAATTTGAATTAATAATTGTTCTTGATTTTGTTTTCCATTTAAACCTTTTTTTTTTTTATCGGCAAAACGAAGACTTTATTGATGAATTATAAGAAAAATTACATCAATAAAAAGGAGCTTTGAGCTAAAACAAGCTCCAACCTCCTAGTTGGTGAGAAACCAACAAGCAAAACAAACAAAGCAAAAAAACCAGTAAAATCAGAAAAATAGGCACTGTAGCTCCTAAACCAGAACTGGCAATACAGCACACCTAAAGGCACCAAACAGAACAGGCACTACAACATCCCTATCAAGCACCAAAGCAAAACAACAGCCCTTCGAGCCCCAAAACAGAACAGGTGAAGCGGATTTGCCTTGAACTACATTACCATGAATTACAACTGCCCAACAGTCATACCAAACACACTGCCTTGAAGTACAACAGCCCACCATCCAATCCAAGCACCAAGATTATTTAAATCAACACAACAGCAAAACAGATCAACTCAGATCAGACACAACAGCACATGGCCATGAGCAACTAGGAGCATGTAACACATCAGCATAACAGAGCAGGCACCACAGAACAACACATCAGAACAGAACACCCTCCGAAACAATTGCACCAGAACAGAAACAACACCCAAAAACAGCAGTACACAGGTTTACACCCTCAGTGCATGGTGCAGAATTTCACATTTTGCAAATTAAACACCAAATCACCAACTGAATAACAAGAGGAAGGACTAGAGGCTTTGAACCACAATGCAATCCGTGTTTTGATAAGATCACACAGCTTTTCGAAATCCAACTGTGACTCGTTAAAAATGATTTCATTCCTCTACTTCCATAAAGACCAAAGCACTGCCAGTGGTATTATCTTCCAGATTACCTTCAATCTGTTGTTGCATCTAAACCCAGTCCACCATTGAATAAGACCAACCACTGACCCCGGCTGCACCCAAGATACACCCTATCATCCAATAATGTTAGACCAAACTCTCCAACTAAACGTACAACACAGCAGCACATGAGACACAGTTTCCCTTTCATTCCTGCAGAAAACACAGTTAACATCAGAGTTGGCACTCAGGATTTCAATTTTTTTGCAAATAAGTAGAAGTCTTGATCCTCCATTTCCATGCTAGTCAAGTAAAAAATTGCACTTTCGGAGGTGCGGCATTCTTCCAGATGAGATCCACCACTTTCGCAGGCATGGTAGATGGTAACTCACTCTACTTGTAGGCAGACGAAACAGTAAAGATACCAGATCTGTCAGCAGCCCAAGACAACCCATCTAACACACCATTCCTGAGCTATGGAGCAGTTTGTAGCAACTCCTTCATCCTCCTCAACTCTTCAAGTTCCCATTGAAACAATGCTCTTCTGAAAGACAAAGCCCACTCCTCATCTCCATTGCTCCTGCTCTTAATCACTGCCACTGATAAACCTTTATGCATAGACATAGAGAATAGTCTAGGAAATAAATTCTTTAAACAGTCACTACCAACCCATTGATCCAGCCAAAAACTTATGAGCCTCACATCCCCAATATTAATCTTTGAGTTGGCCTTAAAGAACTCCAGCAACCCTGGACACTTAAAAGCAACCCTCAAAATACCCCTCCACACCATAGAATATCTGGAATTTGCATCTTGATCTGGCCATCTAGATCCACCATTTTGTGGGTACTTGCTAAGAATCACTTGTTTCCAAATAGAGTCAGATTCACTCCCAAACCTCCACCACCATTTGAGAAGAAGGCATTCATTCATGATTTTTAGCTTTCTAATACCAAGACCCTCGTTACTTTTGCTTTGAGTGATTTCCTCCCAATTAACCATATGAATTTTCCTTCTAAGTTAATCACCCCCCCACAGAAATCTGGACTGAATTCTATCAATCTCTTTGGCTACCCCTTCAGGCATTCTAAATAAAGATAAGTAAAACACTGGTAGAGAAGAGAGCACAGACTTGATCATTGTCAATCGACCGGCGAAGAAAAGAAGCCTACGCTTCCAGGAAGCAAGCTTTGATTTGAAATTATCAATGACAGGTTGCCAAGACCTTCTCCTCCTTGGATTAGCCCCAATGGCATCCCTAAATACTTCAAAGGTAGCTTATGATACACGCAGTTCAATATGGCAGCAAAATCTTTGGTAAGGTCTTCATTAATTCCAACACCACACTCTACACTCTTGTGATAATTTATCTTCAACCCAGACAAGATTTCAAAACATCTCAAAAATCTTTTGATATTAAGCACCTCCTCCCTCTTTGCCTCACAAAACAAGATTGTGTCATCGGCAAATTGTAGATGAGTAATAGTAAGATCATTTGAACCAACTAATGCACCCTTGATCAATCCAGCCTGGACAGCTCTATGTATCATAATATTAAGACCTTCAGCTACAATGTTAAAGAGAAAGGGGGATAAGGGATCACCTTGTTGAAGTCCCCTTTGAGGGCTAAACTCATCTGTAGGTGATCCATTCACCAGAATAGAGATTTTGGCAGATGAGACACATTCCTTCATTCATCTGATCTATTTTGACCCAAAACCAAAGTTTGACAG